TTAGCTGGCGCTCCATGAGACCAGCACATGCCCCTGGTGCGACCTCGCTAGCAATGACACTAAAGATCGACCAGGCTTCGATCCAGTCGGTGACATTTTCAATTTTACGCCTGGGTGTCAACACAGTAGAAATTAGTACTGAAGCATCAGCAGAGTTTTCGTCAACCCGGAAGCGCTTAGCGGGTGGCTCCATTCCTACACTGCGGCTTGGCAATAGTGTTGCCAGCTCTACATACTCAATGTTCATGATCTTTCTAATGGAATCAGCAGACACATGTGCTACGCACGAGGGCATTCTTTTATCGCCACTGGCTAATGGTTCCACACCTTGGATTTCCGCCACGGAGGTATCGGTCGCCTGACTGGGGCCTGCTAGTTGGTTCCACGCGGCCGAGACAGCTAAGGAAGCAGCCTCGCTGATGGCTCTCAGCTGTGCTGGAGACAGCTCCATTGCCGACGACTGCCACAGAAGATAATAATTGCTGCTACACTGTACTTTACTTTACACTCTGAGACAAAAAAATCACGCCTATCTGCTGCTGCTAGCTGCCAATATTGATGCTGTCTCTGCGTTTCGCCACCTCCGCGGAGGCTCTTGTGGTTGCTGCTGCGGAGGCTCTTGCGGTTGCTGGTGAATGGGTTGCTGCTGCTGCGTTTGCCACCTCCAACTGCTGAGGTGCCTCGTGCTGTAGCACTACCACCTTGGTCCGCCCTGCGTTGATCCGGCCTCGTACTCTGCTCATGCTGCCATACTCTCGCGTTGTGGCCCTCGTGGGTACGTCTTACGCTATTTGCGCTTGCCACGTACGTGCTTATGCGGCCTGCCTTACCTGGTGCACCCCCCCCCCCCCCCCTCTCCTTATTTCCCATGTAAGCCTGGTGGTGTCTGTCAATAGAGAGGTTTTCGGAATTATTTTCGGAATGTGGCGGCAGCAGTCGAACTTTCGGAAGTGTGGTGGCGAAAGTGCATGGTTTTCCGAAAATGGATTTTCGGCTCTTTCATGTTTGGGAGTGCATATTTGAATACAAAAAAAGTGTATTTTTCTTGTTTGTATTTTTGCTTTCTGCTGCTCTCGATTATTTGAAAAAATTTCCACATATGTAGTTTTGATTTTTGCTGGTTTTTGCTGCTCTTGCTGATCTCGCCATGTTGACTAATCTTCTCACACTCCATCACACTCTATCTTCCTTTGCCATGGAGCCTACTGACAGTACAAGACAGTAGTTCGCCAACCTCGTCTTCAGCTGTTGGATCACTTGGTCCACCATCAGTCCGTCCTCGTCTTCGAACCGCACCCAAATTCAGTTTGACCTGCGCACATGGATTTGATCCTGCTCAACCCCTTCGACGCTCTCCATTTTGTTTTGCATGGCAACCCTTGGAAACGAAGTCGAATCAGATTTTCGGAATGCAAAACACTGAAAATACCGTTTTTCGGAACGCGCTTTTTTCGGTAAAGCAGAGTCGAAAATCATTCCGAAATTCGGAATGCAAAACCTCTCTATTATATTGTGGACTGGGTGGCATCCGGGGACTTCGCCTCTTCCATACGTGGTATGTTTTGCTCCGCCACACCGCCTGTTCTATCTTGCATACTCGGTTAGTACTGTACCTTGGCTGAGGCTTAGCACGCGCGCTGGAGTCCTTTCGTGCCATGAAAGGAACTGCTTCCTAATATAGAGATTAGGCGCCATGAGCCCTGCTTGTAGTAAACATTGCATTAGTAGCGCTGATACCTTTATGCAAGTATGGAGTAGTCTCGCCTGCGCAGATGGGCGTACTCGTACTCATGGTGCGGCCTGGGCTTTCCCCAGTACGGCTGCCCGCCATTGCCAGACACCCCCATTGTTGCGCGCCTAGCCACGCGAGTGGCTTTTGCCTGCTGCTCGGTTGTCAGCGATAACTACGGTTTGCCGTACGCTGCAAACCTACATTAAACATAGAACAAAAGTCGCCAACGTGTTGTACATACAGTTGTAGTGTAAAGTAAGGATTTTCATCAGTACTTTCGTATCTCATAACTAACTAACCACACTGCACTGTAACGTTACTTGCCGTGGTGATCGCATCGTCCAAGTCATAAAATACTGACTCAAAGGCATGCATAGTGCATGCGTACCAGTGGACGAGCGGTACAACAAAAGCTATTGAAAAAATAGACTGTCAATGCTAAAAAAAAACATCGAGTGCAAAATTTCGAATACTCGCTCGTTTGACATTTTCGAACGATTACTCGAATATTCGAACTAATCGTTTCACCCCTACTGACAATAGTCACAAAGACCGAAGCGTTGACAAAATGACTGGATTGTGTGTAAAAAAAATGCAGTGCGTACTTGAGTGTAGGCAAGTTGCCTGCACGCGATATATGAATAATGAAAGCTGTGTGAGGCGTCCTTCAGAAGTTTGTAAAAGGAGTTGATTATTTTGTAGTTTGTTCAGCCTCACTTGGTTTTACCAAGAGTAGATAAACAAGAGTGTGCAACTCCGGATCTCTCCTGCACAATCTGCAGATACCCCCGCCCACGGCGGAACTTTTTGTTGACGTCACCTTTTTTCAGAGAAACGCGCATTTTGCCGTAGAGCAGTGTGAGAGCACATGCTGGGCACTGACCGTGTAGTGTAAAGCCCGACCAAGTGCACGAGGGAAAACTTTCCAAAAGACTCGCAGCGCGTGCGTCGTCGAAAAGATTACTGTAGAACGGGTAATTTTAGCGACGTAAAAACCCTAGCGAATTTAGCGATCGACTCATTTTCGCTAAAGTTTCAAGTCGCTAATCCATTGAGACATAGTAGTGCACCGGTGATCCGTGAGTAAAATCGCTGCAAATCGCTAAAATAAAACGTCGCTAACCGGTTGACAATGGGAAAACGCTAAAATTAATAGTCGCTAAAATTACCCGTTCTACAGTACGTCAACAAAAAATTCCGCCGTGGGCCAACCCATCCGCGAGTTGCGCACTCTTGTTTATCTACTCTTGGTTTGACTGTGTTAGTATTGGAGAACTACCTACGGATGATCTGTAAACGTTTTCTCTTCTTCCCTATTTTAACAACGTTCCCGGAGACAAAAAAGATACTGTAAAAGCAGAATTTTTCGGTGGTGTTTTATTTTCGGTATCTTCGGTGCCGACAATTTTTACCTGAAATGAAACGAACTGAAAATTTCGGTATTAGTACACTACTACTTGAGTAGTAGGTGGAAAACGGGTTTACCGAAAATTTCCCCTCCACCGAACCGCCGATTTTGAGAACACCGGAAATATTACACAAGCGAAAATGTCTGCTTTTACAGTATGTTTCACTAGCGGATGTCCTGTGTTTACTGTTGGTGCCGTTGCCGAGACGTTTGTTACATGCTGCTGCTGCTGCTTTTGCCTTCTGCCACGCACAGGCTACTTGACACAGTGCTGGAGTTTCAGGCCAACCTAGCGGCACCCAGTGCCATGGACCAGTCCTGAGTACCACCACCGCCGACCCCGCCACCACCGCCGACCCCACCACCACCGCCGACCCCACCACCACCGCCGACCCCACCACCATCACCACCAGCATCCTAGTACTGGTAGCTGTCATCGTCGGTGTTCCAAGGCGTGCTCGTGCGTTGCTGGCAGCCTGCCGCGTGCCTCCAATCCCTGTGTGCCAAGCTTGAAGCAATTTCTCTCTGGATCGGCGCGCATTCCTGCGAGTGGACTGACGTTGTACTAGCTATTTTCCCGCCGCCGCCGCCGCCTCGTCACTGGACAAGTTTGTGTTGCTTGCCTAGACGAGCAGGTCTTGACTCGGCAACTGCACACTTGCAGAATGAATGGGTAGTCGTCGCTTTCGTTGTGTTTGTACCTCTACCGTCTGTTGGCATCCGTGTGTGTTGCTTGCCTAGATGAGAGCAGGTCTTGACTCGGCAAATGCACACCAGTACTACGACAGTAGAGACTAAGAGTGAATGGCTGATTGTAATTCGTAGTCGTCGCTTTCCTTGTGTTTGGACCTCTGCCGTCTGTTATGGTGACTGAGTAATATCATTTGTATGCCACTGTCCGAGTCTGTATCATGCCCTAATGGATATTGCGTGGAAGTAATCCAAGCGCCGCCCCTGCTGTCATGCTGTACGGGCAAATAATTGCCCACGTGCGTGTACATACTCATCCTATATACACGCGTTCCCATACACAAACGCATGCACTCATTCCCCCGCTGACCTTTGCCCTGCTGACCTTTTGCCCCCGCTTTCTGCAGACCCTTCTCGCTTATCTATTTGAGCTAAAAGCAGAAAATAAAAGCGAAAAACGAACAATAAGACCCCATAACCCTTCCTACCACCATGCCACATGGACTTAGCACACACACACACACACACCGTGTTTCTATGTTTCGGGTCCCCGTGTGCGTGCATTTCACAGCCGGAATAGAAAGAAAGAAGAAGAAAAACTGAACATGTACTCGGCTCGCATATGCATGCCCGTGGCACAAGCATTGTTCACAGGGTGAGTACTAGCGTGCCCAGAAACGTCCCCGGTTTCCATCCAGCTGGTATGGGCACAGTTTGGCCAGTTGGCACCACTCAGTGGGGATTGCACGTGCCCGAAACGTTGCGACATTCCTTGTATTGTTGAAATAAATAGATTCGTGGATGGTATGTATGTACATCAGGGAGTCTAGTCGTACCCAAACGGTCTGGGTACGACTCCCTGATGTGCATGTACAAATTCAAATAATATAATGCATGAACAATGCCTGGTCTCTAGATCGATTGTACAGTCGTGACAAGTGAAATCCGACACTTGCCATAGGGGACAGCGCCTCAAATGGACACCAATGATGTAATGCACTGCACCTAATTTGTACTATAGAGCCGTATGCATCACAAACAGATCGAAAGGTCACAGTGTAGATACGCACAGTTCACAAACATGGTACACATAAGGAGTATTGGTATCCAATCCCCATTCATTTTTGCCAGCACCTTTTGAACCTTGACTGTGATGAGTGCGAATTCTGTCATCAGACAGATAAAGTTGTATGCAACACATGTACTGTACGTATGCAGGGCTGCAGAGGCTGCAGGATGCACGGTGCAGTCCCTTATGCCAAGTGTCGGATTTCACTTGCCACAACTGTACATGAATTACAATGTTGTACAGTACGATGTTTTTGAATGCATTTTTCACCCTCCCTTGTTGATTTGGCCGCGTAATTATTACAAGGTGATGCGAAACATAGAAAAATGGCTTGGCCTTAGAATGAAGGACCAAACCTTTTGGTTTCTACCCAGAAAGCAAGACATGAAGCGTGACCAGGGAGTCGTCGATGCACTGCCTGGTCATAATCAACAATGGCACATACTCATCTAAAATGGCGGACGCCCACGCTGCATACATGGTATGGGCGCACGTGAGCCACGCTGGGGGGACACTTGTTCGATTCCGCATACAAATGCATACAAATGCGTGGAAAAGAAGTTTCTCTAATCGCTGGAACTTTTGAGTTTCTTTCGATATAGACTACTGGTCTTCAAGGTATACAATAGTAGTGACCCAACGAAGTGGAATTTGCGGAATACAACGTTCGAGACGGCTCAACCAGTCAAGAGTAAATTGCGAATTTACTATGTACGCAAATGAGAAAACCTACTTGTTTCCCCGCAGCGCCAGTCACGTGCGCCTTCAGTGAATACGTGCCATTGGACCAGTATGCAACAGGGAGTAGTAAAATACCGGTGTTTTACTACTCCCTGGCAGGCAGTGCCTTGCCAAGATTCTGGCAGTGTAGTTACTTGACCAGTTCAGTCGGAAATCACTCTTCGGCACCACCCACTGGTATACGGACTCTCAAAATTTAACTTATGAATTTACTTCAAAATTGAAACGTCTATCTTCAGGAATCTTTTTGGGTTTAAAATAGTGATAACGATAGGGTTAGGGTTTTATTAGAATTATAACAAAAATTTGTCGCAACTTCTAAGTTCATAAAAATTTGAAACTTTGTGGAATCAGTAAAACAAAAAAGAGTAAATACTATGTAATAGAGGGGGATTCACGCCACGCCAGTCGCCACGGTTACGGAACCAAAACTATTCTTTAAAAGTCTATGATTCTATTATAAGAGCCACTCGCCTGCCAACATGCGCAGCAAAGCGAGCGGTTTGCAGCAGGCGAGTCGTGAACCAAAAGTTGAACCGGGAGCACTTGCACGGTTTCCGATGGTAATGCCGGTGGTGGACTTGAGATTTGAGAAGCTGCGTGGCTATATTCACAGCTTGTACGCCTTGTCGAAGAACTGCAGGATGAACTCATCGACCACGGCACGGTCCGGTATCTTAGCAACCATGCCGTACATGCCCGCCGTGCCCTTACTGGACAGCGATGCCTTGCCCTGCACATGCACACGTACATGCAGCAGTGTATGGCAAGACACACACACACACACACACACACACACACACACACACACACACACACACACACACACACACACACATTTTCGTTGGTACAAAACACAAACTCTGGCTAAAGCCGTGGAACCTGGTCAGGCTCAGGCATTGCCGGTCGTACTAGACGAACAGGCCTCAACAATGCAGGCTGTATTGCATGCACTGTGTCATCTTTCATCATCCAGCATCAGCGGCCCTGGCATATTTAACAAAATTCACGGTCGAGTTTTCCGCATCCGCAGGAACGCCACCACCCTCTAGGATCAAGGTACAGATGCAGCTCCTAAGCGGTGGCAGGTGAGTAGATTAGACCCGCCAAAATGTGATCAAAGACCGAAATCCCATTCACTGCATCCATGTAGATTGATCTTACTGAATAATTTTAGCACCATCCGGCGTATCCATCGGAACGCCGCCACCCTCGAGGATCAAGGCGCACATGCAGCTCCGTAAGTGGTGGGCCTTGTATCCTTGAGGCTAGTGACTCTCCTATAGATAACAAGTACTAGTTGCCAGTCTGAAAGAGTCCCATATGAACTGTGATAACATTCTAAGCATAACTCAACACTAAGAAGATGCTGGATGCAATGCCAGCAGGTGTTGTCAATGTCACACTTACTCGCACTTCGTCAGCACTTTCGGTCAGATCGTTGATGAAGACCATCTCGCGGCCGATGTGATGTGGCATTATGGTGCAGTGCAGTGTGTTGGGCAGCTGCTGACGCTCCATGTGCCAATCTGTATGGAACAATACACCAACCCAGCCATGTAGGCATACACACGCACACACACACACATGCACACACACACGCACACACACACACGCACACACACACACACACGTACACACACACACACACACACACACACACACACACACACACACACAAACGTGACCATTGCCGTACGCATTGCGAAGCGATATCAGCACGCGAAATGAAATACATGTATGAATGGGGCTTTGTGAAGCTCTACTGATACCGGGAATCAAGCACTGCATGTGTACGCAGAGGACGGATTCTACAGTGCATGCATGAACACCCATTTTAGGGGGATTCCCCTTACCTCTAGCCTCCATGGCATCAGCCAGAGCTAGAATGTCGATGCCGCTGTTCTCCGTGGACATGATTGCAAACGCTGTCATTGCCGGCTTGCCCACTATACTCAGACCCTACAGCAACAGCAGCACCAGCCAACAACAACAGCAGCAGTAGCAGCAGCAGCAGCAAAAGCACACAAATACACGAGTCAATTCCACGCCATGAGTGTTCAAATTTGGGTGGGGGGTGGTGGTACCTGCTAACAGGACAGCAGCAAAAGCACACAAATACACGAGTCAATTCCACGCCATGAGTGTTCAAATTTGGGTGGGGGGGGGGTACCTGCTAACAGGACACCCTTGGTGTAGTGGAAACTGTGCTGATACCACAGGACTCCGCTTGATCCAGGGATGCACGTTCGATCCACGGCACTTTGGTGCATGAAAATGTGTCCGGTCATGGCGGTCAATACAGGATTCCGCTTGATACAGGGCCCGGGCAAACACACGTTTTACTGTATTGAATTAATATGCCTCGAGTGTTGCAATTCGGGCATAATATAGGGCGGGGGTAATATAGGGGGGGGGGGGGTAATATAGGGAGGGAAGGGGTAATATAAGGGGGGGGGTATTTCTTTGCATCATAGTACTGTACCTGAATACTGTCAACGCCTTCCTCCATTGCCAGGGTGGTCTTCATGAGCTGCTCGGCTTTCTGCATGTATCCGTCCTCTCCGAGAGAGCGCAGCGCTGCCCAGGATGCTGCAATGTTCGCTCCTGCACACGATGTAAGGTGAGGGGTGAGGGTGCACATGATGTAGACGTGCAAGGTGATGGGGTGCAGGCATCCACACACACAGACACAGAGAGAGAGTGACACCGTTAGCGCCTAACCACCCAACGGTCAGCATGCCGACATGCATGTCAAAAATCTCCTCTGCGTCATTTTTTTGGTGAGAGCTTGGACAAGCCACTTGTCCAGGGAAGAAGGCGGCAATGCCTGTTCCTTCTGGCGAAGTAAAATAGAATATACCAACCAACCCACCAATCTCCCCAAATCTCTCACGTGAATGTGCCAGCGTGCGGGGGAGCAAGAAAAGAGAGGTTATGGACATCAACATTCGGAATGTTTTTCGACTACTGGGCAAAAGAGCAGTCGAACGTTCGGGAAACCTGAACAAAAACAAGCAGTCAACTCGAAAGTTATTTTCTGCTTCGGTCGAAAAGTATTCAGAAATTCGAAATGCAGCACCTGGAGACCAAGCTTGACTGGAGTGCACTGCAGATCATAGAAACATCCTGTCGTTGGCATTGCACTTCTTTCAAACCCATCATAGGCACAAGCACTTCTTTCAAACCCATCATAGGCACAAGCACACATGCACTGTACCACACACGGTAGTGACAGTAGCATATTTGTTACTCTGCCTCTTGCTCTCCCCCCCCCCCCCCCCCCCCGGCTAATAACCGCTATGGCTTGCACGCATTTTAAAGCTTCTTAGGTGCAGATCGCCGGAATTCACTCCTTGCTTCTGTTCGTATTCGCTCCACGCTATCAGACTTCCGCTGGATAATAATAATAATAATAATAATAATATTAACTGGTTTGAGGGAAAGAGACAAACGGGAAAGGTCTGAAGAAAAAATCGACTGTCACCACCAGGACTCGAACCAGGGACCCTCGCTTGTAGCCAGCGATGCTCTAACCACTGAGCTATGGTGTAGTCGTCATCCCAGCAGAGACCGTTCAACATTTTCCTCAGACTTCGTAACTCACACTTTAATAATAATAATAATAATAATGTCCTTTTCTCTTCTACATTTATTTATGGCTTAACATCCGAGTTTCAAATAATAATAATAATAATAATAATAATAATAATAATAATGACGTGGAAGAGAAAAGGACATATGGATACGAGTTAAGAGTAACTCTCCATCACTGTAACATGATACTATATACAGTCAGAAAGTGCAATAACTAGGCACAAAACTGACAGAGTACTGAAACATTCGACGTCCTGACACCTAGCTTCAACACATCTCCGTAGCGCTAACCGACAGCCTTCCAACTTGGAAGGTTCAAGGTTATGGAAAAGACCAAAGAGGGGAAGGCAAGCGCAACGAAAACGAGCAAAAACTACAGTTTTACAGTGATGGAGAGTTACTCTTAACTCGTATCCATATGTCCTTTTCTCTTCCACATTTATTTATGGCTCAACATCCGAGTTTCAAATAATAATGACAGTTCGCATTTCACTCATTGCATGAGGTCAACGCATCTGTTAACAATTTCGAGCCAAGCAGCTCTATCAGAAGCAGATTGCACAGCATCCAGAAGCGACAGATTAATGCATTGTAAGTCTTTCTTGACAACGTCGATCCATCTCAGACGTGGTCGTCCTCGGGGTCGTCGTATGTCTGTTGTGTTGATTGACATCAGCTGGATGATCCATACAAAAACATAATTATAGGGTACCCCGTAAGAAGGCCTTAGGCCTGTGGGAATGCCCTATTCAAAATTTAGTAAATAATAATAATATACAGTACCGCACACTGTACCTGGTCTAGTTCCAGAGAAGCCCGGAGACCCAAACAGACCGCCTGGCCAGCTTGAGTAGGCAAAGATCTGATGACGGCGTATCTCCGATGACTTGTACACCACCACACTGGATCCCTGAGCAGCAACAGGACAACGAGTGCAATAACGGAGTTTACAGGGATAGTGTCACACACAGGGATGGGGTCACATACAGGGACTGGGTCACATACAGGGATTAGGTTACATACAGAACTAGGTCACATATAGGGACTGGGTCACATACAGCGACTGGGCCACATACCGCGACTGGGTCACATACAGGGATCATGTCTCATAAATGGATCATGTCTCATAAAGGGATGACGTCATATACAGGGATCGTGTAACATACAGGGATTATATCGCATACAGGGATTATGCCACATGCCATGTCAGTGCTGTAATATTATGAGCTCACCTTCAGTCCAAAGCCGTACTTGTGGACGTCGGCAGAGACGGACGTGACGCCCTGCACTCTGAAGTCGAACGGCGGTACAGGGTAGCCCAGCTTCTCAACCCTGCGAGAGCACATTCACACAGTGTTACACAGCACGTACAGGTTAAGTGACTTAAGGCTGTACTCACACTACTTGAAAGTTTGACGCGAATGTCGCGTTCAAAACTAGACAAAAGTACTTGAAAAAGCCTTTCCAAGCACACTGCACTCCAGTGACGACTTGAAACATTTTTTGTCAGCAAATTACCATGGAGAAACATGATTGTCATGTGGTAGTTTTGCAAATCCCGAGGCTGCGTTCCTTCAATTTGTTTGCGCTCGATCAACTTATTTGAAATTTTCAGTTCATGAGAAAAATAGAAACAGTTATATCTTGCTTGGATCGTGGAGTTCATTCGCCATGCCTCGCGAAGAAGTAGCACATCGTCGACGTCGACGGATGAAGAGGTTTCTCTCCACAGCTCGATGAGCTTCTTCTCCAAGTCGTCAGAAAACACTACGCGAGGCATGATGTCGGTACAAAAGCAATGGTACAAAAGAAATGCGACAGAAACGGCAATCAAAACAACGGGAAGCTACTGGAAGAAAGAAGACGGAAAATACTCGGAAAAAACACCACAGAATTCAGAAATGACAGGCAAAAAAGGAAACTACAAGTATATGTACAGGAGCAGTACGACCACGCACGAGGAAACAAAGCATGAAAATTATTCTGGAGCCTTTCAACGTACAATAGTACTCCGGCCTCCTGACCTCACACAGCTTTCCAAACGGCTTGAAAGCAAAAAACCTCGTAGAAGAGGGTTCCGTTTCCGCTGAAACCTTTCAAGCGGCTTTCAAGGGCTTTTTTCATTTTCGCAACCGTCACCGTGGCAACATTCACACATAAGTCACTTGTATGCGGTTTTTCAAGTAGTGTGAGTACAGCCTTAGTCACATGAACACAAACATGTACTAGACTAATAATAAGTGAGCGGGCTAGCTAGGTAGAAATGGTGACTTAGGTACGCACTGTATGTACTTTCGAGGCGCAGGCTCTTGTGAGTGCTGCACTGAACCCGTGACTCAACCCAGCTAGGGGATTCCCCTCCAGCACACAGGCTGCTCACTAAAGTATACAATCATACACATGTACATGCCAACTCTTACAAGTTCATGCGGTGGTCCTAAACTAAAGGACCATGTCCCCCTGGAAAGGAGAAAACTGCATTCCACAACACCGGGCTCTCATCCAATCTCACATCAACAAACCGAAATTGAGAAACAAACAGCCATTTTAAATATTTTTTTAATCTCACCATGGCAACATGAAGCCGCCAAAGCAGCCGTCGACGTGGAACGGCAGATTGTGCTTGGTGGCCAGGCGTCCCACGTCTTCTATCGGGTCCACAATACCGTACGGGTACTGCGGCGCTGACGCAGCCAGCATCACTGTGTTCTTACCGATCAGCTAGTGGAAAACATGCCAATGGTCACAACACAGGAAATGACTGTCTTAGTCATTTTTAATACTAGCTATGAAAACCGTTCAACCTTTTCAAACCTTGAACAAATTGTCATGTTGCTTGGTGATGTCTGCAGCATTCATACTTTCCATAGCTATTATTAAACTGTTATCTCCATATAGATTATTAGTCATCTTGGCTCGCCGCATTTTCTCCAATAAAAAAACACGTCTCCAGTAAAGGCACACTGAACGCATGCTTCGAAAGAATAAGGGCGACCGTCTCCATTTCCGCACATGCAACTTTGTATCCTTCATTTCCGGTACGGGCACTGGTATTGATAGCAAATATGAAGAAAAAGATCTCTAAAAAAACCGGAGCACGGCAAAGTAGGCTTTGACTACAAGCCTTGAGGATATATTATGTACATGTGAAAGCACAGTCTCCCAATAGGAGCACGGGCCGGAGGGTGGTTGGAAAATATATGAGACGCGTGCTTTTGTTAGAGAAAATACATACAGCAGTCCTATCACAGTGTGTATACCCT